AGAAAAAAGTTTCATTGAAATATATTCACTATTGTAGGAGTTACGGACGTTTGAAAATTGGACCACTTTTATGGGGGTTTTCTCGCTTTACGGGGTTAAGAAACAACTTTTCGAATATTATTAGAATTTCTACATATTCTACACTAAAATACGCGTCGTTTGCCTTTTTAAACATTAAAATCGTCCAATCTATTCAGAAGCTATGATGTTTTAAAGATTCACATGAAATTTCAGGGAAATATATCAAGGTATAGTCAGACATTGCATTTTCGGTAATGAATTTTTTTCCCCAAACTGCGTAGGATTTCGGGGGTACGTCTATTCACCAAAAATGACCGTAATTGACCCTCGCAATCAAAAATAATTTTTTTAGAACGATTTGAAATTTTTTAATTTCGTCGAAAAATGTCAGCACCTACCCCCCATCGACTTTTCTTAAAAATTTGTTTTTCATTTTTAGTAAACACAACCATAGGTAATCTAGTGATACAATTTATTGATAAAAAATGAAATATATAAAATTTCTACGTTCTATTCGTCAACCGTTTAGTACCGACGTCAGTCTTGATTGCATGCAACTGTGACTTCTTTGTTTGTCTGAAATATAATCCGTAACATTTACCGAAGGATAGTCGGGGTAAATATGCCGGACAATCGGAACTCTACTGTATTAAGATTCGAACAGTGAGCTGCCCAAGGGAGAAATATAGTTCTCGAACTTAAGAAACGTGCATGATACGAACGATGAACAGATTTATAGTAGTCTTGCACTCTATATGTTGTTGCTCCTCGAGCAATAAAACTCGGGCTGACAATCTGCTGCAGCCCCTAACAAATGGTAACAGATAACGGATACGAAAAGGGTCACACCGTCGTGAACGATAAGGCGAAACGACAGTGACGGATAGGCTTCCGCGCAGCTCCGCGAGGTTTCCGCGAGTGCAATTCCATCGGCAATGGACTCCCGAAGCCGCTATCATGCACGGTCCAGAGCAATTCCAATAGGCGATCCATTATCTTAAGCGGCGTCAGCCCAATCGATTCGCCCCGTTGCTTTTTCCGACCGCGTTCCCCGTATCTCGAAAATGCCACCCCCCTCGCCGACCACCGCAACCCTTCATTTTCGCGAGACGTTAAATTTTTCAGAACGGCTCGCGGAGATACTAAACAACATTCGTTTACGAATATTGCACTTTCCATGCAAATTTCCCCCTCGCTATCGTTAGCTCGATTTGTCGATATTACGATTAATCGGCGTTAGAAGAGATCGCCAGTTTCGTGCGCCGTTCGACGACGCTCTTTTCTATTTTTGTTCGTTTTCGAGATAAAATGGCTGTCGTTTTCAGCGGCGACTGATATACCGCCGGTATATTGGAAATGCAGAGGTAATGGAAATCGCGTAATATAAATTCTCTGTGGTTATTTATACTGAAATTTAGGATGAAACTATTCAATCGCAACGCGAATGCAAATTCGCAGAATAGAAAGTGTTTTTCTTTCACGACGGTCAGAGAATGAGTTATTATTTTATACACAATTTGCTGTAGATTTTGTGACTCGAAATAAGACGAAAGTCGAAAGTAACGACATTGAAATTAAATCTGAATATCTGTACACATCTACTTAATTTGAAACTTTAGTGTCCGAATCAGGATTTCGAGTTTTTCTTTGTATTCTATCGAAAAAGAATTTTAAATAAAAATTCAAAAAATGCAAAAAAAAATTCAAATGCAAAAAATATTTGTGCATAGTTGCTTTGTGGAAACTTCTTTGAAAATAAACGAAATATATTCAATATTTTGTTCAGCTCGCAAAGAGCTAATTTTGTTATAACTTGTTAACAAAGCATTTCTGGATTTTTTGTTATATAACATTTTAGTCTTAGTTTTACTTGTAGAACACACTGCTGAAGCTTGTACAGAAAAATTCAGAACCTCTATAAATTATACGAGACGTAAACCTTTGAGATTCGGACAGAAGTTTTAGAAATTGCTGTTCCAGATTCGCGCAAAGATCATCTTCTATTCGATCTTCGTACGGAAACTGATAAGCTCTTACTTAAGAATTCGCTCGAAAGCCAGAAATGCATCCATTGACTCACGATTCTGATTTCATCGGCTTATTGTTCTGTATGCCGCTGTAATGGGATGAAATTCTAGCCGCTGAAAAGCCCGAATTCCCTTTCTCTGACCGAATTACACCAGAAACGAATCCCACTTTCACGCCTTGCCGGCTTGTCCGTCTGTTTCGGAAACAGAGAGCGCGTGCTTATTATGTGCAGGTTTATGCAAACAGGCGAATAAGGAACTAAAGTGGACTATAGCCAAGTGCCATGGCGGGGATAACAATAGCCCTCAACTGACAATTGATTTTGGTGCCACAATAGGTAACCTGAAAGGTCTCTGAAAGTGGTTTCCAAACATTTCGAAAGCCGTTGAAAAGGAGAGAACCTCTTTGAAATTTTACAAACTAATTTTTTGATTTACAAGAGAAACTAAAATCGATCTTTCACGATCCATTACGCGAGATACCGTCGTTCTAGGAATATTTATATACTTATAAAAGGGGAATTACTGTCTTCGATTTTTGTGATTGTTTTCGCACGCTTCGCGAACAACCGATGTCTCAGAGTCGTCGAAGATTGTAAATCTTCGATTCTAGGTTTTAGAATTCGCGAATCCGTACGTCTCTAATCGTGTTACCGGGTAGAGATAGTAAGTTGAAAATCTACGAGATGTGTTTGACTGCACGATTGATTCAAGAGTGTTTGATGTTTCCTCCTCAGCTCAAACCCCCTCCGACACACGATTTTGAGGATGTTCACTGATTTTTACGTTGACCTTGTGGATCGATTGATTGGCCATCGACTTGGGGAAGGAGGATCCAGTTTCCTGTCCCTTTTGGGCGAAAAACTCCTCCCTCACACCCGAACGTGGTGAAGGAGGAGTCCCAGGTCACCCTGGACGAGGGTGACCGCCGTGTCCTCCCCAAGTCGAGGGCAGCGTTAATTTTGTCGAGGAAAAAACGGGACTCCGGATTAGGATACGCTGAGTTTCCGCGCGTGTTTTGCAGCTGTTTCATGGCTATATTGTTCCATGAGTTGGCAATGGTCGTTGACCGGACCACCCGCGGAACAATATAGCTCTTCGCTGGTCAACTCGGGTCTAGTGCTTTCGTTCGACGAGGCACTTTGATTACTTTACGATGACATTTGCCAGATGCGGAATATTCGAAGACTTTTTCGACCAAATCACGGTTCCGCATCTGGCACCATAAAGAGCGGAAAACCCGAGTTGACCGGGCGGAACAGTGATACTTTCTTAACTGACTCTTCTTAACTCTTCTCGACTCTTTCTTAACTTCTCTTCCCGTGCCATTTACCTCGACGAAATTCGGGTCCAAACTGTAGGCGTCAACGGCGCGGTGAACAGACCAAACTGATGTCACACTGCTTTGTAACAGAGATTATAAGAATCGTGACCGACTCTTGTGGCGTACCAATAGGAACTTAAACTCGATCACGATCGTGATTTGCTGTCCGCGAGCCTGGCTCGTGATGTTTACGTTTGGGCCGACTTTCTGTTCGCGAGTCTGGTTCGCGTTTACAGTAAAAACTCGATAAATATCCTCAAGAGCTGTTCCGTAAATGATACATTTTTATCCCCATCACTAGGGGGATCCCTCTTGAACCAGTGAGGTAAAGTGTAACCGAAGACGTAGCGGCTTTCTTTAACCCTTTGCACTCCTATGTCGAGTGTGATTCGACATCAATTTTTATCTTAGGAGCTCCTTCGTCAAGTCCCACTCGACATTTTTTCAAGTCCAAACCAAAGAGATATCGTACACTTGAAAATTACAAAATACAACAACAGTGTAAATAAAACAGATATTTTAACAGGTAAATTTCAAATAAAACACTTAAAGGCGTTGGGAGCTACTGGTAACAAAATTGAAATATAATTCGGAATGCAAAGGGTTAAAAATCTTTATTGCCTTCGTCATCTTCGTTTAAATACCCCTATCAGTGTGAAGTGTGACCACACTATTGTACAAGAAGAAAGTTTTTTATTTTTTACCCTTTTTTAATAAAAATTTTACTATCATATGGGGAAGATTTTTCTAATTAAAATGAGACTAAACACGATATAAATCGGTCAATATTTGTTAGCATAATGTTGAATTAAATATTGAACTTGAGAGTCTTTCTCTCTTTGTTTATCCTTCTTGTGTTGTCCTTTTCTATCTTCGAAAACATCAAAGAACGACGGATCGAGGTGTTCGGTACATTTATCGAATAGAAAGTAGCTATTTTCAAACGGAACGCTTCGTTAGCTACCTTTGTTCGATAAATGTACTATCCACTGACCTTGCGAAGATACCAGTACGTACATACATGTTTTGGAGCTGCTATTAAATACCTTTCCCTAACTCCACGGAGACATTTCACTCGAAATTGAACACGTTTTGGTATACAATTTCAGATTTTGTGCAAACTGAAATATTTTCAGAAATGTAATGTGTAGACTGCGGATCTTTATGCAAATTCACATTTTTATTAATAGAATTAATGAAACGGAAGCTTCGCAGAGGGCCGTCTCAACCCCTAAATATAATAATTCGTATCTTACTTTAAGTATTTCTTATATTTTTGCATATTAAATGCATTCTGTAGTTTTTTGAGGATTGAAATTTCCCATAAATGCATAAACATCCGCAGTCTAGTAATGTGTAACGGATACTTAAACTGTTGCAATAAATCTGGTTCCCAGTCCCTCTTTCTTCTTTAGCTACTGACTCTTTCTATCTTTGAGGCGTCGGCAAACTACAATCAAATTCGAAAAACGATTCTTCTATTCCATAAGTGTTCCATCCCGGACCCGGAGTAGTGACATTTATCGAGTTTTCACTACATTCATGTTTGGGCCAAAATCTTCATCACGAGTCAGACTCGTTAAAGCACGGGAAGGGGTTAATTTAAGTATTTAATGATTTTTTTTCAGGTTGTGGCAGCATAGCTCCAAAATCTACGTGGGGCAAGATCGCGACCATGGGTTATGCCAGCTTTGGAATACCGTTGACCCTAGTCTACTTGTCGAGCGCCGGAGGGCTCTTATCCAGATGCGCCAGAGGTGTCTTTACGCGAGCTCTTTGTTGCTGTCTCTGTTCAAACTGCGGCTATTGTTGCTACGACGAACGCCGTATGGAGGTGAGCGCGCAGAATTTATCATAAAGATTCATTAAATATCGATAAACCCAAAGAAACTAATATAAATTGACTATTTACTCGACTTCGCTTGCCCCTTGCATAATATTTTTACGATTCAAAGTTACTGAAAGTTCGTTGAAAAATTACAATATCGTATTCTGAAAGCAAGTCTGTGCACAGTGTAGATTATAACGTTTGAAAAATAAATTTTATTTTGAACCGCTCTGAAAAGAAATTAAGTTATAAAATTTGTATCTTTGTTTATTCGACATCGAAGAATATTTATTTTGAAGGGGCAAATATTGTGAAAAAGAAGAAGAAAAATGTTTTTTTAATAAAATGACGTGTTTTTCATTACTGTAATATTGTAGCTGATTAATATGTATATGCATAATATAATATAATATGATGCTTTTTTGAGGAATTATCATCGTTCAAGAATTAGAAGTGTTCAAGTAGTTGAAAATACAAGCTTGGTTTGGATTATTTAAATCAAATCAAGTATTTGATTGTTTAAGCATAAACTACTTTATATATTATATGATAATTATAGATTATTCTAAATGAAAAATCCAGCAAATACCACCAGTACTCAAATCATTACTGTTGAAAATAAATTTATTCAATACATGAAATATCAATTTTCTAAAAATAACAAACATTAAAAATCATAAAAAAAACACAGAAATTTCTAAAAATAATATCCCCCAAGAGAGAAATCTTTATCTGAATATTTGTGCCATCAAAACAAAATATTTGTCCCTTTAAAGTTTGTCACAGCTAAAAAAGTTAATTCTCAATATTAGACGTTAAAGAAACTAAATCTAAATAGATCTCTCGAATTTTAACAAGACTATAAAAATAAATTTTATGACAATTTATAGATATGCTAGTTTCCCAACTGTCTAAAAACAAAGTTTTCGTGGGCAATTTGAGGAGTTCGATAATATGAAATATAATTTCTCGTATCATTAAAAGCAAAGATTGAGGCAACTCACCCTGCACGATGAACTATTCCCTTGGGTGTGTAAATGTTCGAGCAAACGGTGTACCTTTCTTCGCGGATCGATCTTAAAAATTGCTTTTCGATTGGCGTGGGTGCAGGAGAAGGAGAGACGCATGAGGAAGAAACGGCAACAGGAGGAACTGGTGCAGCAGCAGCAACAATTGCAGTTGCAGGAGCCCTTTTACGTCCGCGCGAACGCGTCAACGTTCACGAGCACAGTGGAAATTAAAGCCAGCCCGAAGGACGAAGTGTCGAGTCTTGGATCCGGTGACAGGCCCAACGTTACTATACTCGCACCAATCAGCATTTGTCTCGGCGCAATGCTCTGCTACATCGTGGCAGGCGCTTTTACTCTGCACAAGTTAGACGGCTGGTCCTTTGTGGGTACGTGTAAAAGAGATCCCGCCATTATCCAAGGAGACAACCACTCTTTCACAAACGTATCGTACGCGAATCATACAGTGCTCGAGAAAATATCCGATAAGATTGAAACGTTTCTCGCACTATGGGCCAGGATTTAGGCGAATTTTATTCGCGATCGACGAGTCAAAATTTTAGATTCGTTCGTAAATCAATTTTAATTTATTTTCCCGTTTGTGAATACGCCGTCATTGGTCAGTCTTTTTCGTTAATAATTCAAAAACGAAGCCCCATCCGACATTTTTGCAAAGGAAATTGTTGTTCAGAATCGTCTCAGATAACCCCCATTTCCGGTTCTTACACTATTTACGGGACACCCTGTATATGGATGTTTTAAACTGTTAAATCTAGTTTTGCAAGGAATCTAAAAATTTTAGAAACATTCAGTGAATTAAATTTGCCCTACTCTGGCTTGGACTAGCTATTTCCTTTTTGGTTTTTATGGGTCATTGAGAATTTGTTTTAACCTTCCGAGTACTGTGCCGGAGTCACTTTTGACTCATCGCTTTCTTCAAGACATTTGCACAGTATTAAGTCTCGCTACTGTGATAGAGGTAATTGTGTGTATTTGTATTAGTGAACTGTCGATGTGAGTCAGAAATGACTCCGGCACAGGCTGCTAAGTCCAGTACACGAAGGGTTAGAGAATCTTTGAGGGAGTATTCTACTCTAAAAACTTGAAAAAATTCAAAACTACACCAGAAACTAAAATTTCTTCGATTCTATATAAAATTTTCTAACCAAATACCGTAGGATTTTTTTAAAATATTGATTTTTGTAGAAATGGTACATGCTTGAAAAATAAATGTCGATTTTTTTATAAAATTCACCATTAAGTCGAACCTTTTGGCAATATTCTGGCAGCAAAAATACCCAGTAGTAACTGATGATAATTTTGTGATAATGAAATGACTTTTTTTAGGCATTTAAACTCTACTTTTGCTTATTTTTAAGTTTGGGATATACAATTTCTCGGTATAGTGTTAACCCTCTGTAATTCTCGAAATCTGATTTAATCCTATTGCCAGTATGCAATATCTCACGTTAACATACAGTTGAAATTTACTTTTTAATTTGCAATCTCACTATCAATACTCGTATAATTTTTTTAAGAAGTCAAACATTTTTTTGATGGTTGAGTAAAATAAGTAAAACTCTGACGATCCCAGGTTTCTTTTTGTATGGTAAATGATTGATTGCATCCGAGCTTGCCACTTATGGCATTAAAAATGCGTGTAGCCCAGCATTGTCGACTAACAATGATTTCTCCTGAACCGTCGTCGGTTCAATTGAGAACAATATTTCTCTGAATTAATGATTCGATTGTGTGGCAAAAGCTCCTAATAAATAATACCCTTCCTTAAATGTAAACGTGCTTTTGTAATGGCGGATGGAGCTTTACCTTGCTCGGTGAAGCTCCAACCAAAGCGTTGAATATTGTTACAAACTATCCACGTCCCATTGTCCGTAACTCGAACATCTCGAAAAGGTTTCCATTTTTACTCGCGCGATTTTTAGTCATATACAATTTTTTTTTAAATCAAGAGATATTACCGTTTTTTTATCTTTAAGCAGTATAATGCTATTCAGAGAAGTTATTGGTATACTGTGGTCACGACAAACTCCCACTAAAAAGGACAGAAAAATTTGTTTGATTTGATTCTTAGATAATGTATAAAATAAAGGAAATGTAGAAAATTTTACCAAGAGTAGACAACCAAAAAACGTTAATTTTGTTGTAGTAGTATTTTTTCCATGTTTGTAGCAAAAGTCTTCCTGTCCACTCATCACTGGACCCACTGAAACAGAAAAAGTCATTGTCAGTCATAGTCCTAAAGAAACGATAATAACTTTCTGTTAGGTATGGTGACGAAACTATAAGATACTCATGAAAATTCTGAAAAATTCTATGTAGCTCAGAAACTTCTTTTCTCGCTTGTAGAATTATTGTTTACATACTGAAGATGGAAATATGCATACAAAATAGCCATAAAAAATACATCTTTGTAACGCAATAAAATAGATGTTTTATATAGATAATTGTTGAGGGATACTGGCTAAAGCAAAATATTCAATGGAAAGACAATTTAACAATATTGGTGATTTAAAAACATATATTGAAGATATGTGAAGGAGTGTAACACAACAACCAATTAAAAAATTATATAAATCTCTTCCTACCGTAACGTTAGAGATTGCCAAAAATAAAAATAACAACCCACTACCTGTCTCATAATTTCGTGACACTTGTTTTCTATATAACTTGTTATAATTTCTATAATACCTTCATATAAAATTTACATTCATCAAAAATCTTTTTATGTACATTTAGTTCTACAAAACATTAAACATCTGCGTTTCATAATTGTCATGACATGTACAACTCGAGAACAGTGCATGTTACTACTGTGCGTCCGCGAGAAGTTGGCAAGTGAAAGGAATGCAGGTCTGATTGGTCGAAACGACAACGCAAGCGGGGATGGGTGCAGCGAGTCAAGCACTCCCCCGCCTCCTCTGCCCTCCCACTAGCTAATTTCTCACTAACACACAGTAGTATACACCTCAAGCCCTGACTAAATCCCCAGAAAGGCCAATAAAACAACTTGATAACCGATTTCACACGCTTGTGGTGACTCCGTGGCCTCAGTATACCAGTCAACGGTTAAATTTCTATCCATAATAAAATGAAACTACTTTATATCGCAGAGCTAAACTTGCTGTTTCATGGCCAACCACTAGCAAACTTCTCATCAACACACAGCAGTACACACCTCAAGCACCAACTAAATCCTCAGAAAGGCCAATAAAACAACTTGATAACCGATTTCACACGCGTGTGGTGACTCCATGGCCTCAGTATACCAGTCAAGGGTTAAATTTCTATCCATAATAAAATGAAACTACTTTATATCGTAGAGCTAAACTTGCTGTTTCATGGCCAACCACTAGTCAACTTCTCACGAACACACAGTAGTACACACCTCAAGCACCAACTAAATCCCCAGAAAAGCCAATAAAACAACTTGATAACCGATTTCACACGCTTGTGGTGACTCCGTGGCCCCAGTATACCAGTCAAGGGTTACATTTTTATCTATAATAAAATGAAACTACTTTATATCGCAGAGCTAAACTTGGTGTTTCATGCCCAACCGTAGATGCAAGCTACTTCTGCTTCATGAGCCTGAGCACGATTGGGTTCGGCGATATGGTACCCGGTTCCTACCCCCGTCAAAGCCTTTACGAGTCAAAGAACGTAACCATTTGGTTCTGCTCCTGCTACATAATGTCCGGAATGGCGCTCACGGCGATGTGCTTCAACATCCTCCACGACGAGATCGTTCACAGGCTGAGCCATCAAGCCGAGAAGCAAGAGACTGTGAAAGCCAGCCCGAGCGTGGACGAACTGTCGACGGATCCTTTTGCGTTGACCTCGTGACAATTTCCGTCTGGCAACCTGTGCCACAGGAACGGCACCGACGAGAACGACATATGTGGAACGGAACCGCCCACAAGCTTGTTCGCCCACGAGAACGAAATCAATATCCTAAAGGACTCTTTCAATCAAGTAGACGTCACCAGAGACTGCAAGCCGATCTTGAAGCTCGAAGATCACGTACCGTCGATTCCTAGTGTTTACATGTTGCCGAAAGTTGACGAGGAGGCCGAGGAGAACACTGAAATGTAAAATTTTTATCTTCCTTCTAGTTTACACACACAAACACGTTTGATAATCGTGATCGAGTCCGATGGGGGTCGCGGATAGGTTCGTTCGCGGACGTTCTCGCGAAACAGGATAATGTTCTGGATCGATACACATAACGCATCCGTACATGTTAAATATAGAAAAGTAATCGTTCTATCACAGTGACATAGTGTACGCTTCAACGAATAGCGAGGAAACTGAGAGAACGCTCTGATCGGTTGTCGACGCTGATTTCGAGATTCATTTCTACAAAAGTGTCTTTGTTTCGAAATTGTGGCGATGGATGATGGTCTCGACTGCATACTGTTAGTTTTGTATGTAAACGAGGCATTCTCATTGGAAGATAGCTGAAAGTTAAATTATATTTGTGTCAGAGAGAATTTTAGTGGATTATCTTCCAGTTATTTACCTTCGAGAAGCTATCAAGCTATGACAGAGAAATATTAACTCGTGTTCCTTATTTTAAATAGATTTTAATTGAAATAATTCTTCGAGTCGTGAACGAGCATTGGTTCTATATTGACTACATACATTTTCGAAACATTTTTAAACTTCTTCAGCGAATTTTCATATATTTGAGTAGTCGCAGAAAGGATTGATATCAAAACCTCGTAATTTTCAAGAAAGAAGATTACCTTTACAATAATTAAAATACACTTACATATATGAAAAACTGAAATTAAAATAAAATTTTCAAAGCTATGAGTAGTTACAAAAAGATTGATACTGATATCTTATAACTATCCCGAAAGATTACTTTTACACTAATTAATTAAAATACTCTTACATGTATGAAAAGCCAAGATTAAAATAGATGGATTTTCCATAACAATTCTTTCTGCTACAAAACTATGTAAATTAAAACAAATACTCTTCGTTACAGAGAAGGAGTAAATAGCAGACTTTAAAAAAACAACAAAAATATAAGCAATGAAATAAATACAATCAATGCTAGTAAAAGGAACACAATTAATTCAACAATTTTTTTCGTTATTTTTAAAAAAATTAACAATTCTATTTTTAGTCATTCGACTACATATTGTTGTATACACAAGTGTCTTTCAATTCATTGTAATAATAATATTTTCTTTTCCCTAAAAATTGCGAAATATTAGTTTCTTTCGTAAATGTATTTAAAAATTCACAAAGGAGGATTTTCACGAAAATATTGATAAGCAACTTTGGTATTCAATGGGAATGTCTACGTGCACGGAGATTACCGGAAGCAACCGTAAACGTTTATTTATTTCGGCGAGTCAAAACGGCGGGAGCTACGCAAAAGCGAACGTAGCCTTATTTCACGATAGTGTACTATTTAATGCCGTGTTTGATAAACCCAGTAACGACGTTACGCAAGTTCTAAGTAAGATGTCTTCAAGACATACGAAGTGTCTCCTAAATGTTCTAGGAATTTCCCAAACTTCCTGCAGACGTTCCTACGTTAATCCAAGGCTACTCTTAATGAACTTTGCTCCACGTTACTAGAACGTAAAATCTGTGTTTCCGTCTAGACACTTCTCCGATAGCGACGCAGGTAACGAGAATTATTTTCTAGATAGAGAATAAAAGGGAAGAGTAACGGAAACTAAAATATATTTTGTTTCTTCCAAACAATAGCACGATAAGTAATTCCGTTTACACGAACGATTATTTATTTTCAAAGAGGTGGGTTCCAAGACACACCAACGCACGATGAGACCGACTCGACGTTTCTACACGCCTACTTAGATAGAAACTTGTAACAGTATTTATATTTCCACATCTAAGCACTCGCAAGACAAACACATTCTTACCTATAATATAACTAAACCGGTTTTTGCGTCTAGTCTCTAAATCGAAACGTACACATTGACATACAAGACGTTCTTTTTCGTACTGTGCTCGTCAAATAAATTTCATTCGCGTAACGACACTGCCGCGAGAAATCTATCACCCGCGTCGACATTAACACGTAAGTACCGATAAGTATATTTTTTAAACGAGCGAATTTTTCTATGGGATAAAGGAAAGGAAAAAACGAATCGAATTCGTTATTTATATACTTGTAATCAGTACAATTTACAGTTTTCTAACGTGACTTTAACTTTTGTACGAACGCACTTTTATTATCGATATTTACTGGAACGATTTTTTATATTCCACGATTGATCCGATTACGACGCTACGATCAATTGTTCCCAACGAATGCACCGCTACGGCCGTCATCGACTAGACGCAGAAATCAATCGCGCGAGAAATCACATTCAAATACTGTGCTCAAGAACAATAACTAAAGTACTGTTGCGAATAAGCACTAATCTATAAGAGTGTTACATATGAAACTATCCACGCCGTTTAATATTGGTATTCGTCATAGAATATGAGATTATCGAGTGCGTAACGTATAGCTGTGAATTAGCAGTAAACTATTAATCTCGTCGGTTGCAGGAGCAGACTGTACCAGTTAATCTTCACAATAAAACATTGTTCTTTTTACAGTAAACAAACATAATTGGTCGTATTTCTTCTAAAAAAAATATATTTACAACATCAAAGTGTACCGTCAATTGTCTAAACTAGGATGTTTTCCATTTTTAATTTTGTCTATAAAAACGTTTATACTATTGGCTCTTTAATAGTCGCTGTCGAAGGCAAATAAGATACAATTAACGCAGCGGGGGCAAAATTGGGCAAATTTTATTCGCGAATAAGTAATGAAAATTTTAGATTCGTAATCTAAGTTTACGTTTCGTTCGTAAATTAAAATAAATAAAATATGTCCAACTCAGAGAACTCGACAGTTATAGAGGCACAAGTGTACTTAGCGACCAAGGGTGAATAATTTAAATAAAAAAATTGTATCGTCTGCTCCGTGCGACCGACGAAAGAATCGCGTTCAGTAGCGAGTTAGAAGTGTCCCTTTTTTCTGTTTCTTGTAACATATCATAAGATGTAAGCGACTCAAATGCTACGATCCTTTCGCGTTGAAAAGACAATGGAGAGCGGAATCGATAGATAAACGATCTGTTAATCAGAAATAGAATCAAATAACGTTAGTTGCTCTCCGGGTGAATGAATGTGCAACAAATATGAGAGATAGCTATCTCTTTCTCCTTGATACGTAAGAACAAATAAAAATTACGGATGCATGCATTCCAGGGGAGGAGGGGGGTGAATTTAAACGTTGGATTGCTACTAGATGCTCAGGACAAAGAAAACGCCAAGAATATAAATTTGATGGGCAATCGTGCGAGACCTTGCTTTATTTAATTTTTACGTATTTATAAGAATTACTATTTTAGAAAGTAAACTCTGTGATTAATTCAGTTGAATAAAAGCAAAATATGACAATTTATAGCCAGGAATTTATTCAATTAACGTGAAATATAATTATACTCTATAATTGAAAATCGAATTTTTCTTGAACAAACAACGAATCAACGTTTGTGTTTTTATTCACTGTTTTAAGTTTGCATCTAGATTAGAGTTTTACCAACTTAAGGGAATTGCAACACCGAGGGTTTTTGTTTCTCTGCAGAAAAGAATCTGATTTACTTTGTTGACGTTTTGGCTTCTTTTCAAATTAAAAATTGTGCAACGACTCTGTTGAGAGACCCTAGAAAACTATAGTTAAGTTAAGAGGTCCATAATTAATTAAAATCTCTTGTAAAAAAATTTTGTCACATTAAATTAACGTGATCGTTTTAATGATCAAAGAAGTTTATTATTATTTTCCTCCTTTTTCTATTGTTTTCCCACAATTTTTAAATATTCTCTTTCACACCCAATTTGATAATTATTCTTCCAATTGTTAAATTCTTCTACCATGAAGAGAAAAGAACGTCGAACAAATGGATCACATTCTGCGTGTTTCGATAATTTTTATTTGCTCTTATCGACAGGGAAGCAAGGATTGTCTTCTGTATTTGTTCTACGAACAATCTGGTGTTCCAATTTTGGGACAACCGAATGGTCAAACGAATTTCGTACGGGGTGTCTAGTGACAATCGATATTAGCTTGAGCAGTTGCTAGCGTTATCGTTATCACTCCGTTGGTGATTCGATGGAGGGTCGTGGCCAGTAACCAAGACAAACTTTACTTTGGTGCGAGCACCAGCCCATCCTGCCATCGATCCAAGCTAGCTGACCGAGCAAACTTTCTCGCACTCGTTCGATTCATTCTGAAGGGGCGTACGCGTTTCCTCAAGCTAACGCCTGGACAATTTATTGCGTAAAACTACCAGCAATTTTCCTATACTTACCAAAACAGTCGGACACCGTCATCGTCGAACGCATTCCCAACTTCAGTGTACTCAGGGACTCCCTAAAAAAGAAAACAATAGAATTAAAGAAAAGTAAAGTTCCACGATAAAACAGTACTTGTACACTATATTTAGCCACTTTGGTTTGTTGAGAGTCGCATAAGTAACAGAGATATAATTTTTCTTTCTGGGGGAAAAAAACAAGAGTTAAAAAGAATAAAGTTTGAATCCTGTATTACATAAACACGATAAAAAGAATTTTGAAAATGTTTACAAGACCTGCACACGATGTTTTGCCAGTTTGTTGTATAAATAAACCTGAAAATAATTTTTCTTTCGTAGAATAAAATTTATGGAATGGGAGCAAAGAGGATCGTAAAGCAACGTTGGACAAAATCGAAGTGGTTTCGATCGCGTCCCTTTTGCGCAAAAATTTCATCGAACTAGTTGAACGAAAATCCCTTGGTTGAAACAATTCGGTGCATTTCAACGAATAAAATCATAAAACTGCTGATAGCTCGAAAGGAATCAAATTCGCGTAGCGATCGAAGCGATAGTCGCGGGAACGTTCTAAAGAAAAATTTATAGATCAATGTGCTCGTTCCTAGATCGCGTAAAATTTGATACCGGAACGTAAAGAATATGTTCCACGACCTACATAGCAGTACTTCAGTTCTGGAGATTAGCAGCGTACGTTTTTATACTGCTCGTCCCGGATTATACGATTTGGCAAAACGGCGGAAATACCGATTCCGCTTGTAAATCTTTGCGCCGGATGCTGTTTCGATCTGTTTCTTCCTTTCGATTCGTAAACGTCGCGACCGTTAATCTTTTTACGTCGAATAAAATTTCACTGATATACCAATATCGCAAAATCAGTTTCCCAGTGTCGTAAAAACCGAAACGAAACAATTTATTTACGATTATTAATCGTCAGTGTACGTATCTTTATTTTCTGATCCGCAAATTTGTCTCCTTTTATAAAAATCGTTCGATTTCAAGGCGAAGAAGTAAATCACTTTCCGAATATATTCTTCCCATAGACACCATTTTGAAATGTCATGAAACTCACAACGCGTCTCTAATATTCTTATTTACTTATAATAAATCATCAGTCGGCAAATAAACACAGTTTCTGTATTATATAAAAGAATCAGATTTATCTTGGTACTTTAAATTGGTAACTATTAAGAATATTTCTTTATTTTATTTGAGAGATCTCATAGAGTCCAGTTTGAGAAACGCTGGCTTATGAAATGGCCCGATAATACCTCGCCAGAAGGGGCGTACAACGCACGTATAATATCATCTTTTAATTCCAATGCGAATTCCCATCGCAGAAACTCCCTTGTTCGATTTTTCTTATTGCATAAGATTTCCGTCCTGCTCGTCCCCTGATCTCGTGTCCTTACGTTCTGGTTTCTTCTCCCGTTCCTCGGGGAAATATAACCGAGTTCAAGGCACTCGTCGCCCGTCACGAAACTTTAGCGCAACAATTTTACGGAGAAAGTGTCCCGGGGGACTCTGATTGCTAGATCCATGTACTCGAGACGAGACACCAAATCTCGATCCTCTCTGTTCCTCGACGTTCTCGGTTTTATTCTGTTTCTCCGTTTACGTTTTTCCAAAGAACCAATTAGGACGCTGTTAGGATTAAAAAAAAATACTGAACAAACAAATTTAACGATGATAATCTCGGTGGAAATATTCAATTATATAATTTCGATTGGCACGCTTGTGACCCACATATGGGTCAACGACAGAAGCTCCTTTCTGTCCGAGTGACTCACTTGTGGGTCACAACGATTACTCATTAATGTACTTACAATATCGTTTGCTTTTTTTTGTTTGCTGTTTGCTAGTTTCATTTATTTTAAACGAAAAATATCGATGATGAAAACGATTGATAGATTGAACTTCTAGGAAGCAGACAAAATATTTTTTCTTAATCGTCCGATTACCCTATACTAACTAAATAAATTAAAAATAATTATCATCGATGAGAAACGATTTGGAAAAATAGAACAAACCAGAAATCCGAGTTAAAAGAGATACGAAAGAAAACGCGTGTCGACTGCTCAAGCGAAAAAATCGAACGGATCGTTAGACATAGGATATTTGAGAAATGGATAAAGATAAAAATAGCTTTTACGCTGATTCAAATTTGTCACAATTATCGAATCGGCGGGATTTGCTTCTGCCGTCCTTCCGTTGCAGCGAATCCTATACGAAAATTGCAGCGTAACGTAATTCGAGCGTAATTCAACATTCTGCTTAGGTTTACCATCTAAGTCTTCGAGAATACCAAAGTAACATTAACGTATAAGAGATCATTATTAACGGGGGTGGTGAATAGACACTGATATCCGTACGAGTGGCGACGTTACAGAACTTTTCTATGATACCTTGTACATAGCATTGAACGTTGTACGATATTAACGATAGAATGATATTTAATGTTAGAGGAGTGCTATTAAAAAACGATAGGGCTGAATTTCTATTTTCACTCTCCCATCATTTTCGTCTAAACAAACGTTCCGCGGACATTCGACGCGCCAAACGGGGAAACTAACGATAAAAGATGGCGGACGTCGAAGCGTCACAAGCCCTGGTCTATCGATGCTCCCGAAAAGAAGACTCTCGTGCACTTTATAGAATTCTCTATGATACCCGTACTACCGAATGTAAATCTTTGTACAGGAAATCGGTGTCTCGCATTGAGAAACATTAGTAATAACGTTCACCCTCGTTTACAGTTTTCATCGGGAACGATTTTACAGGGAATTCGTTCGTTTTCTGTACGCTCTTGCACGTGTGCGTGTGTACGTGTATGCGTATGTGTGTGCAACGTTTTGTTCATCACCCGAATTAACGATAGTCGAAAACGAAAGAATTAATTTACTGTTTGTACAGATTCGTAAAACTTAGTAACCATCGTCGATATCGACGAAATAGAGTTTCGAAGGAAAGTCGACGTCTTTGTGAAATCTTTCGATTCTTTTATTATATAACGTTGTTAAATGAATGCAACTTGAAAAATCATTGACTTTCCTCAAAACTCGATGGATCGTTTCGTAAATGTATCTAAATCATCGAAAAAGCCTTCGTTTTATCTATCTCGAAACTGTATACGAAATATCTCGATACCATTAATTTTAACTCGACGATTTTCCGAAAATTCTTTTGCGACTGCTGTTTTTATCAAAGTGGCGACAAAATTGTTTGCGCGTCAACGAATGTGGAAGAGAAGAAAATACAATGTTAAATTGTATATAAATATATTTTAGAAATTATCGTGCAGGATGATCGTTGTAAGAAAATTAGAATTTTTAATTGTACGCGATCGAAAGACAGTCAAAATTTTTGTGAAATTCATGTTTAAATTATATTACTTTCTCCTCGAGTACAAAACGTTTCGTTTAGACGAATAATAATAACGAGAACAATAACGTTCGCATTCCCCGATGTCCTCACTTTGATTTACAAATGGTGTCACGTGCTCGTGCGAATCGAGTGACGTTAAGATTATCGGGAAAACTAAGTAAGGAAACACGATAATAAGTGTTTCCTTAAAACTTTCCACCCGTCGTTTGCCAAAGCAGATGCTCCTGGCGACTGCGGTAAACTGGCCATGCTTAAAGAATTTATCACGCTCGAAGTTTTGCAATTTTGTTCGCTCCTTAAGATTCCTGCTTCCATGGATTATCCCTGCACGCGTCTCTCATACTTTCCATTTATCCTCGAAAATTATTGCGAATGGCAAACTTGCTGAAACGTTCTCAGCATTTTCTCATTCGATTGCTTGTATCATCGCCCGATTTTTGTAATGGCAGTGTATGTGAAGAAGAATGACAAGATAGGTATAGTGTGTATATGAGAGAAAGAAAGAGAGAAAGAGAGAAAGAAAGAGAAAAAGATCAGTCAAATTCCATGGACCCATGGTTCCAGTTGGTATAATGTAACAAATATAAACATCAATTAATACTTTGTAAATAGCTAAGAAAGTGAACGATGTGGGAGTACATTCGACGTCACTGTAAATACACGAAAAACGAATTGCTGGGTATTGTACGTCTGTATTATCGTTTGTCGAACAATGTATCTTATATTACCGAATAATAAAACAAAAAAGACTTAACAAAATCGTTATCTTATCCTTTGCTCTGTTTCCTTCGTAGAATTATTTTTTCTATGTATTTCAAAACAATAAAAAAATTCCTCATGAAAAGAAATCAAGCCTTTTACTATATTGCAATCTGATTGAATTTATTCCGTTATATTCGATTCGAACAGGAAATATAGAAATTCATAAAACGATTGTTATTCATAAAGTTATTTAAATCATAGTTCATTTTTAAATATTGCTTTTATTCAAGGTATTTTATTAATAATTTTCTATCCAACATTTCTATTTTGATAGAAGATGTAAGCTACTCCTTTTTGAAATACTTAAAACACGTTTCATTTAATTTCCACATCATATGCATTGCGCAGATATGAGAATATGACCATAGACGAGGTATACGAGTAGACCTTTCACCTTATGGACTTTCGTGGTCCAATCTGACTGCCATACCGACCTGAAAATTCGGAGGTGATTTTAGCGTCCTCTTCACATGGATGGCGGTCAGTTGAGAAACTATTCACTGAATTAGTATTAATGGGCTAACAGCTGTAGTGTGTGCGTAAATGTATGTGAACTGTCTATGGAAGGGATTAAAATTAATTTCTGAATCTGTTGAGAACGTTACGAATGACACGAAAATGGTAATGGATCCGGGACCCCATAAAAATGGGCCGAAAAAATGCATTGAGTGAAAGGTCTACTAGTATACCTCGTCTGTGATATATGCCTAGGGAATTTGGTTAGTTATGGTATAATCTCCTTCCTATAAACGCAGAAAGATGGAGCTACCGGAATTGCTAGTAAAATTTGATCAGTTTTCAAAACAACTATTATAATACATTAGATTGTATAAACATAAGCTATTTTACAAATATGCACACAATATTCATGTCTAAAATATTCAACAAAAATTTGCTACTTTATTAACAGTATTCATTATGTAATTTGGTTGTTATCGGTACTAGTAACACTTTTATCAATAATATGCAAAAATGCTACTGGGTCAAATTTAAGTTGACCTAAGTTATAGTATTTTTCTTCGTTTATATACCATTCTCTAACATCGAAATCTTTAAAAAATATTGGTATCTCCTGTTCTACAGACTTTGTGGAATCTAGAAAAATTATTTTCCATTAGATATGGAAATAATACACAACTTTTTTAAATAGAGACTACCATACCAGATCCGTGTGTTGCATTTCTTGTATCCGATATACCAAACATTCCACGAATTGTATCTGGTGCAGTATATTGTGCTTGATAAACTTTTGTAGGGCCCATTAATTCTCTCCACTTATCTATAGCATCATAATTAGCTAAAATGTGAATATCAGATGGGCCACTGCACATAAATGTTATGAGCCTGTTATAAAAAAATCTGTCCTTGTGTTCCATGTAAAATGTTTCCGCCTCTTTTTCTGTAATTATTGTTCTACGTGATCTGACAATTTTGAAATCATTGTCAATTATTAAATCTCGAATTTTCTGAAAATAAAAATAATGCTCAAGTTGCAATATCCTAATTTTATACAAGATTAAATTAACTGACTTTTGTCACAACACTGCTTGTTTGTTATTTACATGTCTATATATATATAATACGACATAAAACATGTACAAAAGTTAGGTTATGTTCTCTTACTTGAAGCACAAAAGGAGATTTAATGACATGCGGCTTGATTATTGCCAACGTTAGCTGAAGATGCTTTCCCAATTGCATATTAACATTCTTCAACTATCCTTTTTATCAAATTCGAAATATCTCATAATGAAACAAGAATAATTTTAAAACCATTACTAGGAAGCATTGTCATATTCTGACAATTTAACTTTTCAAACGAAATTCAAATCATAACAGCACATGGTAAAAAATTATTAAATTCGTGTATTTATTCACATTTATTTATGCCTGATTAAAAAATGTTTGGAATCCATGCTTGAAAATTCATTAAAAATTTTCTATAGTAAATTAAATAATTTATATAAACTGCAAAATATCTACCTTATTATTTATGTAAAATTATTTTCAATTTCATTAAAATTTATAGTTATTTCGAATTATATTCGACAGTACTTATCGAAATAAATTAAGGTCATATCATTTATAAATATGGTCATTGTCGCTTATAATGATTAAAAATATGTACTTCTTTTTACTTTAGGTAGAGTATTGTTAAATCGTATGTAACAAACTGTAATATGCAAATTTCTCGAACCGAAAGAAACCGAATAATCTTGCCGATATGCAATTTCTGGCTTTGTTTTAAAAGTATGACTAATTAACCCTACCGCTAATGGTGTGTTCATTTCAGCACATTGAATTTCATTTGTTTTAAGACAGGGTGGAAAATAAATATAGTTCATGAAAAATATTAATTTAATTCTAAAGTTCGAATTATACGTATATCATTTAAATTGTAACAATGATATGATAATACATATTTTAAAGATGGAAGCAGGCGTTCGACTAGATTCGCCACTTTTCTTCCTATTATAATACAATGCAAATATACAAGATATTTCAATAAAACAAATATATGATAACCACAAATGTGATACAGTAAATACATAGAAGAAGACTGTACTTATAACTTGACCGAAATATGTAAATAAATTACGCTGAAATCGATGAAACGAAATCTAAAAAAAAGATGTATATTTGATATTGTTTATCCTATTTAGATATGGTATGTTTCCAGCTAGAAATTGGTTGATTCCCGTTAAATTGATTTCATGTTACAAGGTATACTTAAGTCACAGTATATGGGTGTAAAAAATATTACGCTATAAGTATTTATACAGCAATTTTATAAGTTTGTTAAAAACCATTCTATTAAAATCAAGAATCTTATATTCGAATCGTTTAAATGTTATTTTTTGCAAAACACAACATTTTACTTGCAGTTTTGTATCTATAACATTATTTTATATGTGGTCGCCTACACATGCTTAAAAAGTATGGTGTCATATACATATATCAGAAATTATATGTGTGCATCTCCTGAAGTATAGATCCTTACTGTTTCTAACAAAGTAATATTATTAGAGCATTTCCCACTAGTCCGTCCTTATGGCATCGCCGGCACCAAAATCGCCAGAACAATCCGAAAGAAATAGGAAATACGACAGACAATTAAGGTAAAATACCCGGTAAAAAATATATTTTGAGGTTAGGGATTGCAGTTTGTTTTCAATTGTCAAAAGAGATTATTTTATAGTTAAAGTATTACTAGTAACTGTGTATACTTTTCTCTGCAATGAGTGGAATTACACACATATTATAATATTCTTTTTCTTAGATATTTCAATAATAGTACTTTTAATATTTATATGCATAGGTTGTGGGGTGACCATGGTCAAGCTGCATTGGAAGGTGCACACGTTTGTGTCATAAATGCTACAGGCCTTGGTACTGAAATTCTGAAATCCTTAGTCCTCCCAGGCATTGGAGCATTTACAATTATAGATGGTAAAAAAATTACACACGAGGACATTGGAGCAAAGTATGTATATGAAAATAGTATCAATACATTGAATTATAATTTATTAACATATAAGATAATATTATGTCATTAATTTTACCTATTAAATCAATTTTAATAGTTTTTTTTTAGAAGCAGATAGTGTTGGAAAATCAAGAGCTCAGGTAGCAATGCAAATGCTATTGGAATTAAATTCAGATGTTAGAGGTGATTACATAGATGAGGAACCTGAACAAATTTTGTATAATAGCCCAGATTTTTTTAACAATTTTACCGTTGTTGTAGCTACTTCGCTTGTGGAAAAGTAAGGGTTATGATAATTGTAAGAATGTAAGCATATAACATTACTTTTATTTACTTAAATAGGAAATATTTTCAGATCTTTAATTCTTCTGTCGCAAAGGCTTTGGGAGCTAAACATACCATTAATAGTTTGCAGGAGTATAGGTTTCATTGCATACATGAGGATTCAAGTAAAAGAGCACACAGTCATAGAAACACATCCTGATAATGAAACACCAGATTTACGTTTAGATAAGCCATTCGAGACACTGAAAACGCATCTTGATTCAATAAATCTAGACGAAATCAGCTTTAAAGATTACCCTCATATACCATATTTAGTTATATTATATAAATTTTTACAAAATTGGATGGTAGATCATCAAGAATTACCGAAAACGTACAAGGAAAAAAATGAATTTAAGAAACTGATAAAGGAAGGTATGCAAAGAAATGAGAATGATGCAACAAATAGCGAAGAAAATCTAGCAGAAGCTATGAGAGCAGTAAATACATGCATAACGCATTCGGAGATACCGGAAAGCGTGAGAAATATTTTAAACGATGACCGGTGTATTAATTTAACAGCCAAGGTACAAGCAAAAAGCAGTAAAGGAACACGAGTAAACTGCTTAACATTAAATTGACTTACTGTATTTCCAGAGCAGTTCATTTTGGATTATTGCAAAAGCTATAAGAGATTTTTGTGAAAATGAGGGGTCTGGATTATTGCCATTGAAAGGTACTTTGCCGGATATGACGGCCGATACTGAGAAATATATAACGCTTCAACAACTGTAAGATTTTTTTTTCGTGAAAATCTCATACGATGACATTAATTTTTCTTATTAGATTTACATCAATTTACTTATTCCAGTTATCACAAACAAGCGATATCTGACGCGGAAGCAGTATGGCGACGTACGCTCCAATTATTACGACAATTGGGCAAACCGTCGGATTCTATTTCCGAAAGAGACGTTAAATTATTTTGCAAATACGCTTCAACTATACACGTAGAAAGAGGAACATGTATAGCAGATGAATATGATTCCAAAATCTCCGAGACGTATAATATAGGTAACATTTTCAAGGCATTCATAATACTTATAGATACATTTGTGTATGAAGAATGCATGTGTTTGATAACGATTTTAATTTTTGTTCAGTGCAAAGTTTAGAAAATCCGGAAAGTATGATGATTTACTACGTTGTTCTTAGGGGAGTTGAAAAATTTCAAGCAGAATTCAACTCGTATCCTGGGGAATTCGACGATCAAGTAGAACCTGATATCGTTAAACTCAAGGTATTTTCTTATATGAATTACTTACAGTAACATCTTGTTAATACCTCGCGTTTCCATCTTGATAAAACGTACCGAATCGTCTCTATCCTTCTTCGTTGGCGCGAAAGTAAACTAAAAACTTCTATGCTTCTCTCCAAACACAATCATATTCGGATTATTTTCACTTAACAAATAAAATTGTAATGAAAATTATTGCCAAAAATAGTTTTCAAAGACAAACGAGGACACTTAATCATTGTTTCTGGAATTCTTGTGCCCAACTGCTACGATATGCGATACGGCAAATAAATTGTGTTTCGATATATCGATATATCGATGTCGGCAATAGATTTCTAACCAGTAATGTCTACTTTTTAGTCTATTTTTTCTTCGCGTGTTATAAGCTTTCTTTGATCGGAGTCGATTTCTTGTATAAGTAAAATAATTCGAATATTTGTTAATATTTGATTAATAGACAAGCCAAGAAGCTTTGAACGGGTTCGAATTTGAACGTTTTATCGAGGAATTCCGTACTAGCAATAACTTAATAATATTTTTAAATAATAAAAAAATGTATATCACATTAACAAGTGATTTTAGTTTTTATGTAATTTAATTCTTTTCAGGCACGCATAACAAAATTACTAATCGAATGGGGATGTGGGCCATTAGCGAAAGACGATTACGTGCATGAATTTTGTCGATTTGGTGGATCAGAATTGCATTCGGTATCAGCGTTTTTAGGTGGCCTCGCAGCTCAGGAAGTTATAAAGTTTGTTACAAATCAGTATAAACCAGTTCATAATACCTTTATATACGATGCAGTTACATCGAATTCTGGAACATTTTTCTTCTAGTATTGAATATTACATTAATAACATACTTTTGTATTAAATAAAGAGAAAAAAAAAGAAAAAAAAATATAATATAATATTCAAATTTGTAGTTTACGCAAGTTTCGTATATTTTTAAATTAACTATTATATGGCCCTTTTTTTGTTTCTAAGAATGTTATATTATGTTTTTCATAAAAATTTACACGATCTGTTGAAAGTGTATTATTAAAACTCAAGTTGAACGAGTATAATATCAACACTTTAATGTAGCAATGAACTGATACACAAGTCATTTCGTTCTTATTTATAATAAACAACTATTACTTACAATAAATACGTATAAGGTGGAAAGCAAATTAAAATTTTATAATACCGTATAATCGACGCACGCAAATGTTAATATTTTACCGGTGTTCCACTCTTAATACAACTTAATAAAACGGGTTGCGCTTTGATTTTCGTATTTCTTCACTTTGTACGTTAACATCTTATATCACGTTATATTATTGTTACTTTATCGATATTGAATTAACTGTATCCTGAGTATACTAATTAACCGTTAACTACGATTAACAATACTATAATATAAAACTCTGACACTCTACTTTCACACAAACCACTTCAGTATCCTGAACATATTCAGTATCCTATATATTTATTATTTGCAATGTGACTATCCCTTGACTATTCCTTCATTTATTTTTACTTAATTTACACGTTACATTGATTTTTTCGTAGATTTTTGTTCAATAACAATCATATTCGAAATTCAAGGAATTGTAAATTCAGAAGTAGTTTTGCGAAAGCTTGACAAAATAATTTCAGTGATTACAACAAACGCAATATCGACAGTACACGCTTCGTACTTCGTATACACACATAGCACCGACAAATACATAAATACATGTAGAATTAATAATAAATTACCATCATATATTACATATAGAGAAGGAGTTTGTAGGGTAAATTATGGGGAGGCGAGGAAAGACTGAGATAGTTATTAATAATCAATAATTCGATTTAGAGGAAACATGAAAGATACTCATTTTCAAGATAGTCAACTTGCAAAAATTTTAAGGATCAGAGAAGATAAGAAAAATTTAACGCGGACGAATGACAGATTCATACAAAAGGGAAAGAGCATAATGTAAATGGAGGAACATTTAATATTTTTAAATGTCTTCGAGAAAAACACCGGTAGAGAATTATAACAACTTTTATGGTATACATATTCAGAATTTCATCTATTAACTTTCTTGTTTGTTAAAATCTGAGCCGTATAATTTATTAATTATTTTCGTCTGTTGTTCAATAATTCGTCATTTCTGTTTATAGAGTTAATGTGAGCAGGATATATTTCTACAGAAACGGTTAAAGCAATTTGAAACTAACCCCCGTCATTATTTTTTAATGTTTATACTTATATGTATATTTGTCAGTAAAATCGGTTCGATCTGTTACTACTATTGACTTTTACTTCAGACACCGAAATATCGGATTTACGAAAAAAAATGATTATTTTGCCTAAAACGGTACATGCACAAAAGTTTTGTCTCATTTGATGATTTACTTTCTTTCGATAACTAAACAAAGAAAGAAACAATTTTCAATTTTTAATTTCTATAAAGCGCGTATTTACAAATTCAAACAAGATATGCCACTTAATTTTGAAACTATATGACTTCGTTGACCACTATAAACATTGCTATTGAAATATTTTCAGAAAATAGATATAGAAAAAGTTTAGAGCATGAAACGTTAATGTCATCGATAAGATCAACAGTATTTGTTAGAAGTAAACCTTCTGGGATAAAACCTTGGTACAAGCAATGTTAGTAATTTGTAATACCATTGATATCCTATAGAAGAATCTCTAATCAATTTTTTAGAAATACTAGGATCTTAGGCAAGAAATGATAATTGAATATAGATAGATCTCAATATGCAACAAGTGTTGACTTTCGTTAAAATTGTTCAGACAAAGACACTGTCGTTTTACATTAAAGTTACTGCGTTGTTATTATGTGGACTTTTTCTTATTAATAAATGTTCTTCTTGCTAGTAGTTATATTGTGAAGTATTATTGGTAGAAGTGAAAATCATTACATAATCCACCAAACTCCTAACTTTATACATTCTAATTTAAGAAGAAGTATCAGGACAAATACGAGCAATAAATAACAGTATTTCATTTTTACTGATGCTTTTGTCAATATTCCAGTATTTAGGAATTTGTACAAATGCCATTCTTTCTCCAAACTACAATGTGTGACATACGATTCATTATTTAGTGCGATTCTTCAAATACCTTATTTTACAATAAACATTCCAATGCCACGCAGCAGCACAAAGAACTTTTATGAAAAGAGTTTCATTTAATTTATCAAATATTTGGAAAAAAAAAAAAAATGTAGAATGGTATAATTACTCAAGCTTTATTGAATCAACTCTTAGTTTTTCGCATTCGTTATTATCGTTTTTCAATTTATTTATATATGTATATATAAATATAATATTTGTTATTTACGATATTTATAGTGAATTTAATATCTTATATACAGGGTGGTTCGTTATTGTTGATACAAGTGTAAAACAAAGATTTTGCAAATGAACCATCGTTTTCGAGAAAAACAATTTCGAAAATTCGCCAGGTACACCTGTATTTGATTTAGAATTAATCAAGCAAACATTATTCTAAATCATATCTGTCTTATTTGTGTTTACAAATGTCATTGATGTCACACTATTATAAACTTGTAGTTGTAGGATTACAAAATTAAAAATGAAAGTCGTTATAGCTTCCAAAGAGTTTAAAATATGAATTATACTGCAAAGAGTACATAACAATTTACTTTTCATAAATCAATTCTAAATAGGTTCATTATTTATAAACACAAATAAATGAGATATGATCTGTAACTAGATTCGCTACACTAATTTTTAGTCGCGTGTGAATGTGCCCTACGGACTTTCGAAATCGATTTTCTTGAAAACAATGTCTCATTTTCAAAAACTTTATTCTACACTTTTGATCCATTTTTTGTACCGCCAATAATAAATTACTCTGTATAAAGATGCATTAGGTAAGGAACTCTTTCACTTTGCAACATATTTATATATTATAATAAAAATGAATCCTTTCAATTAATTTTCATTGTTATTACTTTCCATTGGTTTAGTGATGTCTCCCGTGTTCGCTTTTTATCAAATATTACTGTTTTCTTAAACATTCCTTAATAGGTAACTTGCTAATAAATTAAAAATTGAAAATTTCATGTAATTTATTAATAATAGGAGAAAACTCTAATTTAAACAATGAATATCTACTTATGTAGAATTAAACAAAATTAAATACTGAGAAAATTATTACAATCAGTTGCTATTTTATCTTATGTATTATATATATCGTTATATCATTATAACAATAAAAAATTATTTCTGTTATACAATTTGAATATCGGGAATCTTTACTTTCAACTGTCGAATTGTTTTGAAAATTACTTTCTTTTTACAACATATCAGATTTGACTATTTAAAATCGATAAAAATATTAAAATTTTTAGAATTTTATCAACAAACTTATGTGTAATTCTGTTAAATAATTTTATATGCTAAACTAATTATATTCCAAAAATATAATGGAAATGATTTAAAGTGGACAATCAAAACTGTTCTGTCAAAATTGTTTATCCGATGATGTTCGTTTGTTTTTTTTAATAATCTGATTTTCTCATTCAACACTTTAAATACTAATTCGCTAATACCATTTATGTTTTGATGAATTAGTATGACTTACTATTCATTTTGTATACTTATCTTGTAAGAAAGTGGTTGAAAAATCATTAAATATTTAAACAAATGTAAAATTATGAAAGTTATGCAATATTATTGACTTTTTAGAGTTGTGCTAATTTAATTGCAATATTTACTTTTTCCCGCTTTATTGCTTTTTAATCCGAGGTACGATAATTACATTTTGACTTCACTAGCATTGAATTTAAAATATAAATTCCATTTTATCTAAACAGAATTTTTTATCTATTCTTTATATTTTTGTATTTTTTAGAAGGAAATGTCATCGCTTTGTTTTTTTCGGTAATTAGCATACTCCCTGCACCTTCTTATTTTTCCTCTTATTAAATAGTCAGAAGAATCCAAACATTGTTTTAAAATTTCATATATTAACTTCAGTAAGGTTATTTAGTTTATACAATGACTATACGGATTAAAGATATAACTATGTGGTCTTTATCCTTAATTATTAATGAGCATAATATGAACAGATAATATCTTAGAAAGTAGAATAGATTTCTGCATAGATACAAATATACGTATATATATACAATATATATGTATATATGTATATGTTCTAATATATGCACGTATTTTATACGTTGCCCTCCTGTAAAATAATACTTACAATACTGCCAGCATAATGATTACTTATCACGTAATCATATTTAAGTAGCAAAGATGTTTCGTTAGTGATACCGGAAAACGTAGTCGAACCTTAAAGGAATGTAAATTAAAGCTCGATCACGCATTACGAAAAGGAAATGGTGACAGAGATAATGAAGAACATTTAAAACAAAAAATGAAATACTAATTAAAGAATTGTGAAATAAAAAATCATTTAATCAATGTCCTATTCCCTCAACAACAACGACGAACCGTCCGAATTTTGTTTCCATTGTAGATTGTAATTTATATACATTAAATTTGTTTCGTATATTTCTCAAAATATACACGTTTATCTATACCGAGATAGTTACTTTAAATTTAATCACGAGTCGATTTCTGTTGATCGTGCCATAATTAATGATCCGTCACAAGTTACACATTTGTTCTGCTGCTGCGTGTATTATTTTTGCACAGACAGAAACTGCAATATTATCGCGCTCTTATCACTAGGAACAAGTAATAAAATTATAGTGCTATGTATACATATATGCAGAACGCATTAAAATAGCCAATTCTAATTGAACAACAGGTGGCGGGAGATTTTGTTTGTTTTGCTTGTATTTTTTTTCTTTTTTTTTTTTCTTGTTTTTGTCTCCTTCCTCCTATCCCTTTCTCGCGTATGCATACATGCAGACGCGTATAACGATACATTGTCACACACATAGCACATTCGTACACGGACATACACGCGTATACGCATTCGCAAAAATAAATCTCTAAAATAGTTCGTGCGTGTGAATTTTATTCTCTCGTTTTTCTTTCCCCATGTTATCTCCTTTCCTTTTATTTTCACTTCATTTTTACAATCTTTTTTTTTTTTTAAACTTGAAGCTTTTTGTCGTTCGAAAACTACTGAACTAAAATAACAATCAGTTCAGTCGTTCAAATCGGCAAGCGGGCTCCATTCTTTCCCTTGCTTGTTACGAGAAGGTTAAAAGAACCTTTGTTTTACGGAAATTAACATGTTAAAGCGATTATAACAAAGGTCATCGGACTGTAACTTCTGAGATAAACAAATTAATTCAATAGCTTAATAACAATTACAAAATTCTATATTCGAAGTTCATCATAAATAATTGTTTCTCCAATTGTTTTCATGGAAATATATGTGCAAATATCTTATAATTTAATTATAGTTTTTTAAATCTCATTATTTTATTATAATAGTAAGTCAAATTTAATAGATAGAATCATTATAAGTATGATTTAATTTTACATTTATAAATGTAGTTTTATGGAAATTTTTGGTAATTATTTTAGTCAGTTTATATTCATGAAAGTTGCAATAAAGTATACAAAGTTACAATAGGATCATAAGTAGGAAGCAATTTTAATATACTCTTGTCGTTAAAAAATCCACAAAACATTATAAAAAGCCACAAAAGAAGTGGTTATATTGTATTACAATGTGAGTTATCCTCTTTAAATAATATTTACACATTGCATACTGGTTTTACTGTTCTCCATATAATTCCATTATTCATACTTAAAGCGAAAAAAAAACGTTATTATCTAAAAACACATTATGTTCATTAAAATTAATGAACTGTTTGAATAATTACTTTAACCAGACGTTTTTTCTTTCATCAATTTTTTCCGGTGACCTTTGCTACTCGAACTATTAATTGCTCCAGTTTTTCTGCCAACATATTAAGACGTATCTCAAAATGAGTCTTCTCTATAATTATTAGATCATTAGGCGATCTATGACAGCGCGTAATGAACATTCGAAAACTTTTCGTCGGGATCACGAAGAGTATTATGCGCATCATCGTATAATATGAAATGTGTTCTTGCAATTAGCTATTATGCCGAACATATGTTTCTCTTATTTCATAGTTACATACAATGAACCATTGTTACTACCTGAATGCAGATCTTAAAGTGTGTAGAACATCAGCATGATAGATCATGATCTACACATCTGAAAAACTTAAAAATAAACGTTCTATGCGTGTCTACTTCTCCTTCAATTACGTAAATCTGAATAAAATTGTAGGTTATCACCTAAAACGGACTTATGCGCTCCTGTACAGTAAAGTTTAACTGGAATCATTTAATGAATTCTAGTTTTTTAAACGCACTCGGACCAATACCTAATTCCGCAATCCACGCGATCACAGTTATGGGTTCTAGACTCAAGCGAGAGCTATAAATTGAAAATAGATCGCTTATTTTTTCTTATGTTAAATTTCAAAGTTTATACTTTTTTACTAAAACGAAAGCGTTCATCAACTTCTTTTGATAAATTCAAGAAAAAAAAAAAATGAATATATAATTAACTTTTGTTGATGGTTTAAAAATACTACCGTAGGATTAGTAGTGTAAGATTCTATTCTACTCTAATTAGAACTATGTATCATCGATTTATACCGAGTATTTCACAATAAGTATCTGAAAAGTGGAAAATTAAGTTGCCATTAATTGTCACTGTAATATGAATCTTAATACTGCTAAGCAAGTATAATTTATTCAGACTTTAGTAGTATCACTGGATGATTCAACCAATCACGTAAACAGTTATGTTCTTATGTAGATAATTATGTTTTTTGCCTCGTAGTGCCAAAAATTTAATCTGAATTGAGAGTTCAGACGAAAGCCTAGTTATGTTATTAATTTAATTTGGATATTAAGTTACTAATATAAAGCACAAATTTCTTGTCTGGTTAGAATAGGAGCAACTGCAACAAAGATTACTAAAGCAACTAGTTTACTGCATTCAAGAAGTAATATCGAAATAGATTCTGAAGTTCTAAATACATTGTAGAACCTAGAAATTAGATAATAGCCCAAGTTACATTAAATCTAAAAGTTATAACATGTGTATTGTAATTGGGCTATTGCATCAGAGTATATTTGTATAGCAGCAACAGTAAAAGTTTTGATTTTTGTAAGTTTTCTAGTAAATCCTTAATATCTATATATTTTTACTATTATAATATTTCTATATGTTTGCAACAGTTATCTACATAAGTGTAACAATGTACTAATGCAAGATTGAATCCCTCATCTAAGTTGACGTTGAAAATATGGCATTCATTGTAATTTGAAGTCAGATTAAGTATAGTTGAGGGAGTGTCCCTTAGTTTTATTCAGATCAATTACGAAGGAGCTATAATTATTAGGAGTGTGCAGGATTTCAATTGAGGCAGGAATTTTTTTCAGGATCAAGATGGACTCTGGAAAATGTTTGAGGTCCCACATACCCCTAATAATTATACGTAAGTTTTTTTATATAACATTTGCGTATGTTGCTAAGGTATGCATTACAGATAATTTCAATGGTTCAGAATATATGGCTATGAAATGGGAAAAAGATGTATTGGGCACAATAGCTTACAAAAATCCATATAGAGCACTTAAAAATTACTTTACCTTTGAGCTGCGTATGGCGGAGACTTATGCTAAAGACCACTACTCAAAAATGTGTTGATGTATGAACTCGTTATTTATAAGCATAGTTAAGGTTATACAGCAAAGACGGATATCGCACAATTGTGCCACAAGAAACAGTAGTTGAACTTATGTAAACACTATTGTCCATTAAAGCTGATCTTTCATAACGAAGGTATCGAGATGCTCCACGAAATGATGGACAGCAGCACAAGAACACAGAACACTAGAATTCCGCTAATTATCGCATTTAACCGAATAACTGGAACACGAGTGCTACTTCAGGCATCAATGTCACCGATAGCATTGAGGTAAAGTCTGATGAAGCACATTCTTGGTTCTAACTAACGAACCACAATATTTTCTTCTCGAATAACAGAGTGTGGGCAGCTCTGCAGGTCATTCGTCGTACGCAGCACACGAGGATTCGTACATCCGAAAACGTAATAAGCTTTTTTTCGTTTAAAATCGATCCGTTTACGAGACGGAGCGACTGGACTAGTCTTGCAGACTAGCTTGCGGTATGCGCAAGCGCAATGGGCCCAGTGACCCTGGACCTGTTCGGGTTCCGGTCCAATTTAAAAATGCCCCCTTTTTCTATCACCTATGTTTTCGAGCAACGTTTACGTTCGTAACGATTTCTTGCATGAAAATTCGTTAATACGTTTAATACTTACTTATCTACTTCTCGATAATAAAAATTTGATTATTATATGATCAATCGCGTAAAAATAAAGTTCACACGTAAAGAAAAAAGAAAAGAGAAAAAAAAAAATTAAATATTATGAAACAGCAAGGACAATACTGTACAAAGAGTAAAGAATTCTTACATTAAATGTAACCAAAATAATAAAAGTTTTTCTTTGAAAAGTTTTCTAGGGAATTTTTTAAAACATATACTGCTTTGTGATCGTAATGTTTGTATACGGGACACTATCGGACCGGGTCCCGACGCACGTATCTGGACGACACGGTAATATTTGCATAATGGCCCAAGGCTTCACTGAGCTTGTGCACTAGGATCGCACTGCAACAGTCGCACAATAGAAGGGTCATTCTTTGCACCCTCTATAAATTCGTCGAGTGACAATTTGCCATCCTTATTTTTGTCCATCTGCAGGAATATCTTATCGGTTCTTTTTTCGGGTGTAGATTCGTCTTCTGGCATTTTCATCACGGAACCTACCATTTTGTAGATTGCCTAGAAATAGGAAAATCGCATAAAAAGGCTCCACTTAAGAAACTTGTATTTTGATTATTCTGTTTCTTTGTAGCAGGAATTGGGGACTGTACCTAATGATATATACTATTAAAAGCAGAATTTAATCAACGAGGAATATGTATATATATGCAGTGGTGGATCTAGAAAAGCTAAGGGGAAACGAAAAAAAAAGTATAAGAAGAATTCGAGTCCTAGAAATTATAAACAGAAATAGAAATATTACAGTTTCGATAATTATTCAACATAAAGAAATCTCTAAATGCGAGTAAAATTCTGATAATAAATTTTTGTTAATTGATTAAAGGGTGTGGAGTAGGGATCAAGTTTATACAGGGTGTTCGGCCACCTCTAGCAAAAATTTTAATGAGCGATAGTAGAGGCCAAAATAAGACGAAAATCAAGAATACTAATTTGTTGATGGAAGCTTCGTTAAAAAGTTATTAACAATTAAATTCAAAAATTTCAAATCGTTCTGGAAAAATTATTTTCGGTTGCGGGGGTCAACTACAATCACTTTTGGTGAGTACACAAACCTCCGAAATCCTATCTACTTTCGAGAAAAAAAATCGAGTAGGTGCTGAAATTTTTCGGCGAAAAAAAATTTTTCAAATCGTTTTAAAAAAATTATTTTCGGTTGCGGGGATCAATTACAATCATTTTTTATCATTACACATACCTCCGAAATCGTACGCACTTTTGAGAAAAAAATTCCTTACTGAAAATAAAATTAGGTGCCTAAATTTTTCAACGCAGAAAAAAAATTGCAAATCGTTGTGGAAAAATTATTTTCGGTTGCGGGGGTCAATTACAATCAGTTTTTGCCATTAGACATACCCACGAAATCCTGCCCACTTTCGAGAAAAAAAATAGAGAAGGTGTGAAATTATTCGAGAAAATTAAAAAATTGCAAATCGTTGTGGAAAAATTATTTTCGGTTGTAGGGTTCAATTACAGTCATTTTTGGTGAATAGACATATCCCCGAAATCTTGCGCATTTTCGAGAAAAAAATTCAGTAAGAGCGGCACTTTAAACGTTAATAACTTTTTAACGAAGCTTCCACCAACAAATTAGTATTCTTGATTTTTGTCTTATTTTGGCCTCTACTATCGCTCATTAAAATTTTTGCTAGAGGTGGCCGAACACCCTGTGTAGTTCCCCTTATATCCGCTACTGTGCATGCATATGATTCTGGCGCATGATCTAGGGTAAAAGTGTAAAATTGAAATGTTTTACACGTACTGTCACGATTTCCATCATTTCTTGTCGCGAAATATAGCCGTTACCATCGAGGTCATACATGCTGAAGGCCCATTTCAATTTCTGCTCCAATTTGCCGTGTGATGTTACGCTCAGAGCGCACAAAAACTCTCGGAAATCAATTGTTCCATCGCCGTTAGCGTCGAACGTCCTGAACACGTGTTCTGCAAACTATGCATCGTACGTGAAAAAATGCGTTAAAATATTTGAAATGGTCTTAACGTTTAACGTGGACAGTTTGAATAGTATACAACTGATTAAATTAAGATCGCTAAGTTCGTTCGAGAGGGTGGTAGGTGAGAATTTTAACTGAACGTAATCGACGTGTCGCTAATAAGATTATTTTTGTTCTATATAAAATAATTTCATAATTTTTGTCCTACCTTTGAAGCGTCACCATAGGGGAAAAAGTTTCCATATATTTTCTTAAATTCTTCTACGCTGAGATGCCCACTCGGGCAGTCCTTCAGAAAGCCTTTGTACCATTCTTGAATTTCAGCATCTTTAAAAAAAAACACATACACACGTTGTTATTTATCGAGATCGCTACATATTAAATTGCACTTATTTCATGATTAAAATGTTTCGTTTTATTTAACGACTAACGAATAAAGTGAAACCGAAATTGGACGAAAGTTGGGAATGAAACTCGCCTGAAAATTCAGTATTTTGTTTGAGGTCCTCCAGTACTTCCGGCTTTAGTTTGCTGTTCTGTTTCCCCATGGTCGTTCGTCGCTCCTTTCAGAATTTCGGGCTTTCGACGGCGAGTCTCGACCGCTAATTAGCAAATTATTAAATGCTAACTAGTCTACTATTCTACCGGTGCCGCTTAGAAAAACACAGTTTGTTGGTGGTATATTCGCCACCAGACACGTCTGGAAAAGAAAAAATAAGTAACTACATACGGACGACCACAAAATCATCGATCAAAATAATTTGACGGAAACCGGGATTTTTACGGTTTCATTTTTTCTAAATTTCGCATGAACATTGCAACGAAATTTCAGGGATTTTGAGGGGTTTTGTTTTCAAAATAAAGAATTGTTACGGACAAAAGAATACCATTTTTCAGGTACTGAATTTTGGTCCAGGATTATATGTTTTTACTTTTTCAAGAAATATAAAGATTTTATTATTTTCTACGACACAAGTGCATCGTTTTCTTGTATATACAATTTGTTTTAAAATGCTGGCATAAGTTGAAAATTCCTCGAGCCTAAAAAAATCGAGTTCTCTATCGATCAAAAACTTGAGTTTTCGTTTTCAAAACGTGGACAAACAATTAACATTTCGTACACACACTCACACTCGAAAGACAATTATTGATGATACTATTTTTACTGATTTAAGATCATAAAATATTGTTTTGCACACCAAACTACTTTTACTTTTATGAAATTTGAGAGAATTCATTTTTAATTTAATTGATAGTCTCGTTTTTAAATTTACTTGGAGAATTGTATTTGTAAAACAATTTTTATTTCATTAAAAAGACTCGATGTGACGAGAATAGATTAAAGTAAATATTCCACAAGAAAGGTACATTTTTGTTTTCGAGATATTATTAATTCTTTCATTCAGTAAAAATTTAAAAGTGTATAGCATAGTAAATAGACTGAATACAAAATGGGGATTGTCAATTGTCTTGAAAACGGGGTAGCGATTTTTATTTTAGCTCAATATACATATTTTCCTATAACGAAAAAAGAAATGTTAAAAAGACTACAATTTAATATTTTACACGTCTCATACAAACACAGTTTTATTTATACTATTTCTAAAAATATATAAGATAACTTTACGTCAAATAATTTTCCTTCTTAATAAATTTAGCGTTTCATTTTTAAAGTAATTTATAATCTTTTCATATACTTAAAAAAATTGTTTCTGATCGGTTAATAAAATTATTAGCCACAAATGGATTGACCAAGTATTTGCAGAAATTTGCATTTCACAAATTCAGTTTGTTTTAACTATCGATCTTAGAACCAAAACAAATAAGATTTTCCCATTGCTTTCGTCGAGATCTACGATTAGAAGTCGATTCGACGATTTTGAAAATTGTAATGTTTATCGTTATTTTGATTAAAAACTGGAACTTTAGAACATATTTCCATTCATCGTGCCTTACATCGTAAACTCGATTTCATCCAGCAAGGCTCATCTCAATCTTCGCCTCTGCATGTAATGTTAATTGCTTTATGCATATTCAGAAAACGAAGCGTCAAGTTGTAAAATGATAGGGCACTTTCCGTCTTCTTTTGGTACAAGGATATATATATTTTTCAGCTTACCCCAATGTTTCCAAATATTTTATAAATTTGTAATTATTAACAACGTGAACAACTCGCGTAAAAATTGATGGAATTCGGGGGAATTGTTTGATAAGTATAATCCTTCTGTGGTTTATAAGAGCATTTACAATTCCAGAACACAAACACACACATATCCAAAAATTTAAGAATGTATATATATTTCTACTTAAAAGTTTCAGGACATAATATATATTTCTATGTTCTGGAGTCATTATTCATTTAAATAGAAGGCAAATTATACCTTCAACCTATATGATATTTATGCGGAGCAAATAAACAAGGTACATTAATTATTTGTATGATTCACGTTGGATACGTTTCACATGTTTCAAGTACATTGTGCTTTTTCGAAACTATATCCTGTACTTTCCTAGGTACATAAATATTTCCACTTTTCTTAAAAGAAATTTGACTTTTAATTTCAAAATAGAATAGTTTTACGACACACGTTTTTAAAAAATTCGTGATATTTTTTTTTTATATATATGTTTAAATTGTTTAGACTCCATATACAAAAACAGAGGGAGATATCAAGACGTGGACAAGAGACAAGGACAGATATGGAAGGAAAGGGTTGAGACCTGTTTACAGTCGTTCGATGAACACTAAAGTAATAACCGTAAAAGATGTTTGCCTTGAATGTTCAGCGAATATTACGAATACAATCAATGCAAATTCCCGTTAATATCACCGCTTTGCAATTTTAACTTCCGTGAGCCCGTTTCGTCCGTTCTTTTTTTCGCGTTGAGCATCACTAAAAATAAAACAACTACTTCTACGTGTGTAATCTCTAGAGGATCGGGGGTTAGCGTAATAAGACCGAATTAGCTTACCGTAAAGTCAACACTTATACGTTTACAGTCATACACATTCACACCACTGTAACAGAAGAAACAAAAGGTTAATGTGATTTCGGGTAACGATGAGAAAGAGAGAGAGAAAAAAAAACAGAAAAAGAGATTAAATAGGAACGCAAAGACTGACAATGACAATGTAACAATAATAGTAATAACGATTACTACACAACAACGGCAATACATTTAGAGCATACTGAGATTTATTATAATAATAATATTAGTAATGATGATAAATGCAGGTTTCTTCGGTCTTTTGTCGTGTATAACCCACGAACAAAATATGAGTCTATTTTGATTGCTTAATCGGAATATTATAAGTGCCGCGATAATGTACTACGTACGTATTATTATTAGTTCGCGTTCGTGCTTACGGGCAGAGTCCACGCTTTCATAGATCTCCTTTTTAGATACAAAATTCCATCGAGTTATTCCGGAAGCATTTCTGTGGGGGCTGCAAATTTCATCTCGCACTCTCAAAACTGCACCAGACAAATTTAAATTGTGAATTCGTAAATCATAGGTAATTTGATTTCATTATTTAAGTAATAATTAACATTGTGGTTTATCTTTAGCAAAATCTATTTTTCTCTTTCACCAGAATCGAAAGTGACAATTTTCTAAGTTCAAGGGGTATTCTCATTTGGAGTATTTCTGTATCGTTTTGCTAAAAGGAAAATTTGAAACTCAAACATTTATCGAAGAGACCTAATGATCGTGGTTCATGAGATAATCAAGGCAACCGATCCAACGAGAAGGAGCCCCATTTACACAGTTTATCTCGACCGCCTAGACTCGCTAATGCCAGTTACTTCTCCCTCCAACTTCATTCGCCGCTAAGTGATCCCTTTTACTCGCCCACGCAATGCAACCCGACGATTCCACGCAATAATCGAGGTTCTATTGTATCGATGCTATTGTATCGACCCACATTCTGTTGAAAACACGAACAGCGAGAGTTGACAGTGTGGGTCAAGGAAATTCTGAAAGACTGATCGATCATAAATACTTAAAACTTGATTTTCTAGAAACAAATAACACCTCGAAACATAATTAAATCTTCAACAGCCACAGAAACTCATATTCCCATAAATAAAACTTAATAACTAATTTTTTAGTGCCAGCACTCACAATATTTCCATCGAACGAGAACTTAGGGATCCAACTGTGTAAGCCATGCAGTCTCACTGAATTCATATTTTCAAAATTAAAAAAACACCAAAGCGTGTCGACTGTACTGTACAATTTTACATTAAAATTTCAAATCGTTCGCGCAAAAAATACCCGAACACCAATTGCTACGCCAATGAGAATACTCCCTTATCGCTGATACAATTGTTATTATTAAACTGCGGATGTTTATGCATTTATGGGAAACTACATAATGCACTCTAATATGCAAAAATGTAAGAAATACGTAAGATACGAATTGTTATATTTAGGGGTTGAGACAACCCTCTTCGAAGCTCCCATTTTCATCAATTCTAGTAATAAAAATATAAATTTGACTAAAGATCCGCAGTCTAGTCGTTATATTATTGCACGACGATGATTACAAATTGCTTTACCGATTAGAAATTAACGATAACGTTGTCATCCCTTGCACTTGAGAGTACGGTAGGAAACTCGTGTCGCCGATAGACAACGGAATTCGAAACTGATACACGAATGGCGTCGGACAATGCTCGTAAGGCGCGTTCCGCGTATGCATACAATTTGCATTTATTTTATACCCGGCTTGCAGCGTAACGTTCAGTTTCATGTATATTTCGGTGCTCATCGTGTACAGTGTAAAGGAGCGAGACGCGATATTTATATACGTACGCGCGTCACGAGATACGCGTGGATTAACATAAATTAATTCACCCAACATGCTCGCTAGCCGGAGATGAATGACGTTCGCCAACGTCTTTGTCACGTTGCCGCGGTTTTTGATTGCCAAATTTTCGAGGTACCGTATTTCGCAAGCGAAAATATCGATTTAACAATAGTCGTGATTAATCGTTGGACCGTGAATACGTTCGCCGTTCCTTTTGAAATATGACTTGTTATTTCGCCATACGTATCCGGGCTTATTCGATGGATAATGGAAGCAATTAATCATAATTTCGAACCTATGCGACGGGTACAACGTATCTCCGTATATTTTGGAACTCTTCTTTTTTCCTTTTTTTTTTTTCAAATTTTTTTTTTTTTTATTTATTTATATTTCGGTCCAAGGATTAAAACGGTCGATCATAAATTCGTACGACGAACGCGAGTTATTTTTACGTTCGCGTTATTTGCCGTGATTTCGCAGAAAAAAACGGGTTATCTTGATTAACATTTCGCTTAAGTCGGCTGCTCGTTGCAAATTAGCTTGTGCGGCGAAACTTGTTTTCATTTCGAAAAGTTGACAGTCTCGTTGAATAGAATACGAAAAAACGAAGCGTTGCTAAAAATTTGTATTACAAACGTCTATTAAAATGCACAACGTCTTAATGTATCCCAAATTGTTATTGCTGCTTAAGCTTGCGTGCAACCGAGCCAGATAAACTTATTAAAAATGTTCTCTGTACATGTACACGTTTTCAATAATTCAAATGTTTAAAAAATATCCTCGAACATTTCAATAA